AATTTATTCTTTAATCAAATTATAAGTCTGCCACTGTATATAAAGGATACCCCTCCATCCTAAATTATAAGTTATTTTAATAATTTTAGAGATTCAAAGCATCAGTTTAACCAAATTTATATGATAAGATAATAACATTTATGATGCCAACTAAGTATCATTAGATTCTTTATCAGTTATATTTTCATAGTATACCTATTTGATGTAAAAAAATCTTTATATTTTTTTTTTATAAATTTGGTCAAACTTGAGATGCTTTGACTCTCCAAGATTCTTGGAATGACTTATAATTTGCAATGGAGGGAGTATTAGATTTAATTTGCTATTTAGCCTAAATTTCATGGCAAAGCTCCTGCTATCTTTTTGTGGTTTGTTGAATTGTTGTGGGGCAATATATAGGCAGGGGCTGTTGTAGCCTGTAGGAAAAAGCGGGAATTTTATTTTATTTTTTAAGCAGAAGGTTAATTAAGGACAAGTTTGAATGGTAAAGACGCAATTGTAATTTCTTTTTTCTTCTATTCTACACACAGGCATACAAAATATATTTTTCATCTAGGGAAATCCATTTTTACCATTTGATTGATAGGCACTAATTCTCGGTAGCGCTGGACCGCTGGTGGCCAAGAAGCGAGAAGTCCTACACCGGCTCTTTTCTAGAAAAACGGGCGCGCAGTACGACTCCTTCGGTAGGGTGTTACTGAAGTAGCCCAATATTACTTTCTAGGTTTATTAGGGAAGATGCTGTAGTAGTACCCTAATATATCTTCTACAATACTCATATGAAAGGTGGGTCTTACGAAAATGTAAGAGAAAATATGGCTGAAAAGTGGTAGTTAGGATGGTTCCGATAGTATTGGGGAGTTGTATCTTCCTCTCTTTTTTGAGGGAAGATGAGAGAAATATTGGTGGCTACCAAAAAAGGAAGAGCTATTGGGAAACTGCTGGACCAATGAAAAAACATAGTTGTCTCTAATATGACAGTTTTCCTCTTCCTTGGGTATGCGCTCCGCCTCGTCCGACCCTTGGGTCTGCGTTTCGCCTTGCCCGGCCTCTGGGGGAGGACTCCGCCTCGCCCGACCCCGAGGCCGCGGGCTCGTCCGGCCTCTGGGGGAGGACTCCGCCTCGCCCGACCCCAAGGCTGCGGGCTCCGCCTCGCCCGACGGAGACCCATATCGTCGCCAACCACTCCAGGTACAAGCATATGGGCTCGAGTCAAAGCTCTGACACAAGGGAAGAGACCGTCACGTCCCGATATAACCCGTGGCCTTGACGGGCCATACCGGAGGATTTGCATCAAGAACAGCGCGGGGGCGTACCGATGTTGTTCTACCTACCCCCGTACGAACACTGACGGGCGCGTCAGTTCACCATGACGTTTGCCAAGACGGAGTGGAGCGCTATGACCGGCATATGACGCCTGCGCATGGCGCTAGCGATGGACAGGACCGCGACGCGAAGCCGTCTCTGTTGACATCTACATGGTCGGCGGGACCTACATGAAGGAGAAGGACCCGACGATTCTGAAGGCCTTCGGCTCTCTCTCTCGTTCTTCTTTTTCCTCCGCTGTAACACATGCTTTCCCTTGACCTATAAAAGAGAAAGCACGGCGTCCCATAAGGGGCATCGCAACACATCACATCGATTCAGGCTAGATCCGATCGAACCATCACGAACACACGGTCGAGTAGCAACCGAGCTCTTGGCACCCGTTCACTCTTTCCACCGGAGACTTAGGACCTGTCCCTCTCTCGCCCGTTTGTAACCCATACTACGAACTTTCAGTGCTAGTAACACGAGCAGCAACAACGAACTGGATGTAGGGATATTCTACCCGAACCAATATAAATCTCGTGTCCTCTAAGCACACCATCCGAGCCAGACGCGTAATATTAGAAATTTATTTGTCGGTGGCAACTCAAAACACCGACATATATCTTCCCCTTTCTTTGAGGGTAGATGAGAGAAATATTGATGGCTAAAAAAAAGAAGAGTTATTGGGAAACTGCTGGAGCCAGAAAAAAATATAGTTATCTCTAATATGATAATTTTATAAGGAACTGCTGCAGATGCTCTCATTGCTTGTGGAGAAGAGTACTCCTTCCGTTTCGACCTGCCGCTTCGAGTTTGGACGCACGCGCGGACGTGGCTCGCCGTCGGCACCGCCCCGGACCCTCAAAGCTCCTCTGCCCACTGCTGTCCCCTTCCCCACGGGAAACGCCGCCGTCCTACGACAGCATTCACGTGCGGCGCAGGGCCGCGGACGCACGGAACGGAAACCCCAGCCCCAGGAAAATAAAAAGAAATCCACTTGCCCGCCCGTTGCCGGAAAAGAAAAGAAAATGCTGCCACACCCACACAACAACAGCGGGCCTCGCTTTTGCTAGTGGCCCCCCTCTCTCTCTCACTCTGGCCCTTGCCTTTATTTTTATGATACTGTACTCCGTATATTGATTAGCAATAACTTGTGGCCTTTGCGATTGCGTCCACACCGACGCACGGCACGGCGCCGTCGTGCGATCTCTTTCCACGTCGTCGCGGCTCGCGACGACAGGGACTGCTGCACCGAACCGGCGGGAGCTGTTCGTGTCACGCCTCTCTCTTTTTCCAGCTTCCCGTGCTCCTCGTGCCGGTGCCTGACTGGCTGTGACCCCATTTCCGTTACGTTTGCGTGCCCAAGAGCCACAGACCACTAGATTTTTTTAGGCCCTTATCGTGCTTCAAGTCGGGTGCTTTTCTATTGCCGGGACGGCGACTCCACTGCAGACACGGCCTGTGAAAGCACGTCCACGTCGCGTCGTACTTGCGTGAATTATTCTGCACTCTCCGCCTTCGGAATCAAAATGGCATGGAATCGTCAATCGTGGATGGATGCTGTTGTGGCCGGGAGAGTACGTGACAGCGGTGACACGACAAGGTGGTAGAGTAACGGTACAGCATGCTCGCTCGCTTTACCTAGCTGATGTCGACGAGTTCCGGAAAGCAGGAGCGGTTGTTCCATGTTCCTCTGCTCTCCCGTTCCAGGATCCACGTTAATATTGGGTTCGCGAATAAATTTTCTTAGCCACAAATACTACTGAATGGTGCAACGCTATATATCTCTTTCGTTTGCACGGAACGATAGCGAGCCAAAGAAGAAAGAAGAAAGAATATATTAGCCAACACAAGGACGAGCAACCCCGTGACCATGCTGCTTCTATTGTGTTGATTGATGCTCAATTTCTTTTGATTGTTGTCATTTTGTTTCTTTTGATATAGGTATAGAGTACGTAGCTCGGTCCATATATTCTAAGTAGCGCTATACGTATATAGATATGATTGCTTCAACTTGCTCGCTACATGTTGCAACGTTTGTAGTGATGTCTTTGTCCTAAGCTAGCCATAGGAATAGGATGCAGGGCAGGCAGGCGCAACCGGCCGTCAACGGTTCCCTACCTCATCCGCCAGTTTTCGCTCGTCTGCTAGAACCTACGAAGCGCAAAAGCCCCCAGGCCCAGTTGCAAACTTGCGATGTGTACGCACGGCACTTGGGCCGCGCCGCGCCTGAACCGAGCCAACTCCCGCGAGGCCACACGCCCGCGCTGGGCCGCGCTCCCATCCCAACTCGCAAAAGGAATTCCCTCGCAAAAACACATGGCGCGGCATTACCGGCCCGCCCGCGCCACGGATTGGCTCCCGGCCCAATCGGACGAGGCTTCTTGGCCGCGAGAGACCAAGGCAACGGCCTCTGCTGCCGCCTGCCGCCTGCCGCCTGCCGCCTGCCGTACGCCCCCTCGGCTGTCGCCGTGGCCTCCCGGGACGCCAGCCACTTCCTCCCGAAAGGTGCGTGCCCGTCCCATCCCATCGTCCTAGCGACACCGACCCTTGCTTACCCCAAAAGCTATCCGAGTCAGCACCGGCCAGCAGTTCGTTCATCTTAATTAAACCCAAACCATCGACAGCAGCATCACTACAGCAGTACAGCGCGTCGCCCAGTTGCATTTGGGTCTCGGGGAATCTCACTCGCTGTACAAGTTGCATTTTCAATGCGTACGTACCCTCTGTCGTGACAGGCCAGCTCTAGTATATCTCCATCTCTTCTCACCAGACAGCACATTGCAATGTTTTATAAGCAATTAAAGATCGCCCATCGGCGGACATGTTATATACGTACATAGATGTACCTGTGCCACCTATCTTTTCTTTTCTTCCCTCGAATACATAAAAAGTTTGCACATCATTAGGATCGAGAAATAGTGAAAATTACAACAACACGCAACGAACATGGCGTTAGTGTTACCAGCATGGCACACTAGGTGTACCCACGCCGCCTATCACACACGTGCACCTTGGCCTCGGCGTTAAGAGTTCCGATTGAATACGATACGTCGGTACCGATGCCACTCTAGTACGTACGTACATTGCAAAGGGACGTACGGTACATGTTCCAAGCAAATGCAACTTGGGAAATTCAATCCTCAAAAGATTCTATTCTACTTTGGCTGCGTTCGGCTGGCTGGCCAGCTGGGGCTGGGCTGTCCAGTCACAAAAATACTGTTCAAATGCATAATGATTTTAGACAAAACAGTATTTTTTTCTCCCAACAATCAGCCGGAACAGTATTTTAACTTATTTTTTAGTCCTGCCGAACAGCCCCTTTACTCTTAGTTGTTATCAAGACGACGAGATCATTCCTAATATATATACCACTTCATATTGAGATGACGAGATAAATTTTTCTCTAATATACGTATACACCTTTGCCTTATGATAGGTTCTGACAGATGACAGCATAACCTCGACACATTCTGACCGACGTGGCTAGGGTTCAAGGACGGCGCGCGTCGCTTCTTTCGTTTTGATTCTATACTAGAGCAACTGGTTTATTTTATTTTTCTATCTACGATCCGCAACGCCAACGACCGATTAGTCTTCTCGGCGAGAAATCCAGTTCGTAACCGGAACCGGATTCCGGAGTCGTCCTGTACTCCTGTCCTGTTGCCCAGTTTCGTGTCGAGGGAGGGATGGCCGCGGTGCTCGGCGCGTTCGTGCCGGATACCGCGGTGCGGTGGCGCGGGCTGGTGACGGGGGAGGTGGCGCGGCGGATGGGCGTCGCGCCGGAGGCGAAGACGCTGGTGGCCAGGCTGGACCGGGTGGGCGCCGCGGTGCGGGACGCCGAGGCGCGGGCCGCGTGTGGGGACGACGGCGCGGCGCGGTGGCTGGCCAATGTGCGCGCTGCCGCTTACGAGGCGGACGGGGCCGTCGACCGGTGCAGGGTCGCCGCGCGCCGGCTCAGGGCCCACGACCAACAGCAGAGCCACCACCACCAGGCAAGATAACCGCTTCATAGAACTGTAATCACGGCACTTCTGCAGGGTCTGTTGCAGGTTCATCCATTGACTCAGATCCTTTCTTCCTGGCCGGCAGGCTCTTCCTCGGCTGCTATCCTCCTGCTGCGACACGGACGTGTCCTGTGGCGACATCGCGGCTGACATCAACAACCTGAACCGGAGGCTGCAGGTCATCCTGAAGGAGAAGCATCAGCTTCAGCTCCGTTCATCCCTCGGCGATCATTACTCAGCGCCCGTGCGCACGGCACATAGGCTCCGAAAACCGGAGAGGACCCGGGCTTCTGACACCGACATCGTTGGCTCAAGGATCGAGGACGACGCGGCCGGGCTCGTCCGACAGCTGACAGAGACGGACGGGAGAACCGGCTGCACGATCGTCGCCATTATCGGCCCCGACGGAATCGGCAAGACCACGCTCGCCAAGAAGGTGTACGGCAGCGAGAGGATACGGCGCGGCTTTGGGGCGAGGTCATGGGTGTGCATTCCCAGAGAGTACAACGAGGCCGCCCTGCTCTCCCTGGTCATCGACTCGTTCGGCGGCGACACAACGGGCGGCGAGAGCTTCGCCGACCTCGAGAGGACTCTGGTCAGGCTGGTGGAGGAGAAGAGGTTCTTGCTCGTGCTGGACGACGTGCGGTACGGCGGGGTGTGGGAAGACGTGCTGAGGAGACCGCTCGAGCGCGCTGCTGGACGCGGCAGCAAGGTGGTGATCACGGCGCGGCACGGCAGCATTGCTCGGGAGATGGGCGCCGGCCACGTCCACCGCGTCAAGAAGCTGGACATCGACGATGGCTGGCTGCTGCTTCGCACGGCGGCCTCTATAGTTGACGAGGCCACGGCGGGCGAAATGAAGGGCGTGGGTGAGGGGATAGCTGATAAGTGCGGCGGCGTGCCATTGGCGATCAAGGCTGTTGCCGGCGTCCTGAGGACACGGGATGCGACCGCCCAAGAGTGGGGCGAGGTGCTCGCCAGCACGGCGTGGTTGGTGAAGGGGCTCGCGGAGGATGCCATGAAGCCGCTGTACCTGTGCTATGACGACTTGCCGTGCCACCTCAAGCAATGCTTCCTGTACTGCTCGCTGTTCCCCTCTGACCTCGCCGTGGATAGGCGCGTGCTCGTGCAGCTTTGGATAGCTGAAGGCTTCGTGCAGATCAGAGCCGACGCCAGTGTCGAGGAGGTGGCCGAGGAGTACTACGATGAGCTCATCACAAGGCACCTTCTCCAGCCGGCAGAGGGAGATGAACACGGTGGCGCCGCGTGGTGCACCATGCACGACATGCTGCGAGCTCTGGCGCAGCTGCTCGCACATGGTGAGGAGTGGACCGGCGACTCGTACCGACTGTTGGTCGACAGCGATGCCGCCTTCGCACCACGACGTGTTTCACTCCCGGGAAGAAACCTGGCTGCGATACCTGAGAAGATTCTCAAGTTAGAAAGGGTAAGAACGCTGCTTCTTCAAAAGAACCCACTTACAATTGAAGGAAGCATCTTTACAAGATTGCAACATCTTAAAGTATTGGATCTCAGTGAAACAGCAGTCGAGCTCATTCCAGAGAACCTGGGCAATCTTGTTTATTTGAGGTTCCTGAATCTGTCTCACACAAGGATTCAGGCAATTCCAGAATCCATAGGCAACCTGTGGAGCCTGAAATTCCTTCTGCTAAGAGGGTGCAAGACACTGCACGCGCTGCCAAAAGGGATAGAGCATCTGAGAGGACTCAGGGACCTTGACCTTGCCGGCACAGTGATCAATGACGCGGCATTCAGAGTAGGCCATCTGAGAAGCATCACATCACTCTGCTGCTTCACCGTGACGAGCAAAGAGGCGCGTGCTGCTCAGGATAGGAGTGGGTGGCCTCTGGATGAGCTCAAGAACTTATCTCAGCTGAGAACACTGCACATACAGAAGCTTGAGAAGGCTGCTAATCGATCGGAGGCAACTGAGATGTTACTTGATGCCAAGAAAGGCCTCAGGGAGCTCGAGCTGTCGTGCAGCAGCACTGTCAGGCCACTTCAAACACCGGAATTGGTCAGAAAGATTGAGGATATCTTCGAAGAGATGCATCCGCCACTATGCCTGGAGTCACTGAAGCTTGTAAACTACTTTGGGACAAGGTTCCCAAGATGGCTATCAGTGACCTTCCTGCCAAATCTCCATGATCTAGACATCATTGGGTGCAACTTCTGCCAGTCTTTTCCTCCATTAGGCCGTATGCCAGAACTGAGATCCTTGTACATAGCAGACTCTCTAGCTCTGAAGGATATAGGTGCAGAGTTCACAGGCACCGAACACCCACATCAGGTTCCATTTCCGAAGCTGGAAAACCTGCACCTCCGAGGGCTGCAGAAGCTCCAGACATGGACAGACATTGAGCCAGGGGCATTTCCATCTCTGCAGGAACTTCAGCTTGAGAGCTGCCCCAAGCTGCAAAATCTTCCTGTTGGCCTCAGACATGTGACATCCCTGACCAAGCAACACATAGCAGATATGGCAAGCCTTGAGGCTGTGGATGACATTGCTACACTGAGGGAATTGATCGTTTGGAACACTCCTAATTTGAAGAGGATATCAAACCTGTCTTCCCTTGAAGATATCAACATGTGCCACTGCCCTATGCTGGAGAGTGTGGAGAATGTAGACGGATTACAAACAGTGCACATCTTTGATCATGACTTGCGGGACATGCCCAGATGGATTGAGGCACATGCTTCCAAGCTTCGATCACTGAATTTCACAAGCACAGTTGAGCTGCTGAAAAGGTGCTTGGTTGACGGTACAGACTGGCCTGTGATTAAGGACATCAAGGAAGTTCATGGGTACTCCACTGGTTCCAGCTACATATACTATAATAGGAGTCCTTATATCTTTGAGAGCAATGTGAGTGATGAAGATAACCTCAGTGTCAGAGAGAATGAAGCAGATCCTGATAATGTTGATGATATTTCAGTTTCATCTTCAGGTACCAGTTATCTAGAAATCAGAGGATTCTTTGACTCAAAAGTATTGAAGGAACTACCAGGGCTGAAGAAATTGTATCGGGTAGGGGTGTCGGGAGCATGCTGGGGCTCACTCATCGTCGCTTGCATAAGCTAGCAGAAGTTGCCCCTGAAGATGATGAGGTTGAGGACAGAGCAGATTCAGTTGTGCCACTTCCTTCTAATCCAACAAGGGCTACAGCATCTGCAGCAAAAGTTGGTTGTGTTGTGGCTGATTATCATAATGATCCTGGTTCAAAGCTACAAGTCATGAGTCTGAAGCAATAACCAACAGGACCGAGCACAAGCACGTGCGGCCGGTTCGGTCCTCACCAACCAGTCAGGTATAGTATAGGTATAGATGTACATGTACTGTACAGGCCTGTAGGTGTATAGTAGGCCCAATCGATGGCACATGGCAGGCAGCAGGCGGCCAGGCCCAAGGCCCCAAGCCCCCAAGCGGCAAGCGGCATGCCCTGCACCTCTGGCCCTCTCGCTGTCTCGCATCGCAGGCACAGGTACCGCGACGGTACAGCACTGCAGGCCGCATCATCAATTCATCAGTTCATCACACCAGCCGTCAGGCGCCGCATCGACGTCCAGGACGCATCCGCAGACCGCAGGGCGCCGCGCCGGCCAGGCAGGACGCCAGGACGGCAGGACTCCATCGCACTTCGCGCACATCGCAGTCTCGCAGATCCTGTCTCGCCCGTGATCGGTGATCCGTCAGTCCGTCTCGTGTCTCGCGCCTCGCGGCAGATCGGTATACTAATCTGATTTCTGATGCAATTAATTTTCAATATTTTAATCAGCATTGATGGATAATGACTAATATAATATTGATCCATCTAGGTGTTTAGTTATATTTGTTCTGGTTCTGGATTATCTAGTGTTTCGATACAAGATTGTAGTCATGTCTTCTGTAAATCGGTCTAGAAAGTATGAATCTGGTTACCAAAAGCATAAGAAAAAACAAAGAATAGAGGATTTAACTCAATCTCAAAAGGGGGCTATGGATAAATTTGTTAGAAAAGAGTCACAAGTGTCCACCGATAATGATGACAATGATCCTAGAGATGGTCAGATGGAGACAGAAAATATTGTTGGGGTCGAGGAAGTTCTTATTGATAACACAAACATTGAAATGGATGAGAATGCTGATAACATTGGGGCCAATAGTACGTGAGAGGACAAGGTTATGACAATGGGTCAAATATGAAAGGAAAACATAAAGGGGTAAAAAAGAACAAATGTCTTTAATTATAAGATATGTTGACTCAAGCAATTTCCTCACTTACAACAAGATTTGAACAATACCAGAGTTACCAATAAAATTTTGGTTTCTTATTTACCTCTGTCGAGGACCTAATACCAGGGTACCCCAGAAGGTGGAACCAATAATCATCGAACGTTAAAAACTTCTGGACGGACAAGGGCGCCGTTGCGTTCCTTGCCCGAATGACGAAAGTTAGGTTCCGTCTCGCCCGACGCCTTCGGGCCAGGCCCGCCTCGCCCGAGGACAAAGGGCTGGCCTCCGTCTCGCCCGACGCCTTTGGACCAACCCCGCCTCGCCCGAGGGCAAAGGGCTGGCCTCCGTCTCGCCCGACGCCTTTGGACCAGCCCCGCCTCGCCCGAGGGCAAAGGGCTGGCCTCCGTCTCGCCCGACACCTTTGGGCTAGCCCCGCCTCATCCGAGGGCAAAGGGCTGGCCTCCGTTCCGCACGATGCCTTCGGGACAGCTCCGCCTCACCCGAGGGCTAAAGGCTAGTCTCCGCCTTGCCCGAGGGCTGAGGGATACACTCCGCCTCGCCCGACCCCCGAGGGGTGGGCTTGGTCACGCCCAAGGGATAAGGACTGGGCTTCGCCTCGCCCAACGATCGAGGACGAACCTCGCCCCGTTCGATGTCCAAAGGCTGGTTTTATCTTACCTGATAACTTCTCACCCGTTCCCTCATGATGATGGGTACAGAGCAAGACAAGACGTTCGGGTCAACCACGGCTTCAAGGACCATACCCTGTGCCCCGGTAGGAAAGGTACTGCCAGGGAACGACTGGACAGGTGCTTTAGACCCTCCCGGGCGCCGCAGAGCCCAAAAGGTATTGCAGGTGCGTACTCCTCGCCCTATAGAGTTGTAGGCGCCGCCTTCAGCTCTGGGACACGGAATCCGATGAATATACACGACAACCACTACACTCCAGAAAAGGATTTGTGATCTCCACGAATGACGGACATGCCGTCACCACATTATGGACCCAAGGGAGCGGCGCCTGCTTCCCGACCCCTCGGGTCCACCAAATCAAAGGACCTTGCCCACAGCGCTACTTCGGACCTCGACTCCGCGTCCCTCCGACAGAGACTCATAGGAGCTAGAAGGCGTGCGGAGCAAGGCAGGGCGAGGTCCATAAGTCAAAACAACTGTACTCCAGCCCATACCTGCAAGTAGGCACTATTCCAGTAACCATCCCGACATTCTGAAGCATCGACAGTATTGTAGGCGCCGATCATCCTTTCGCACCCATCGGAATGGGGTACGAGGCTGGGTAGAAGTAAGCCACAAGGCTAGGTAGAGCACAGATCCTAAGCCACGACCCTTGTAAAGCCGTCCCCTTCATCTATAAAAGGGGATGCGCTTCCTCCAGCAGAGGGGGACGAAAACAACGCAACACACACAAATAGTCAAGCTGCTACCAAGCTCTTGGCTTCCTTTCGACCCTTCCATCGAGACTTGGGACTGTCCTCTCTCGATCGCTTGTATCTCCTACTACGAACCATTCATGGTGCTAATAACACAGCGACAACAAAGCGGGCGTAGGGATATTCGGCCCGAACCAAGTATAAATCTTGTGTCCTTTAGCGCACCATCCGAGCCTAACGCGCATTACTATAAATTTACTTGCCGGTGCTTGTACGAAACACCGACAGTTGGCGCGCCAGGTAGGGGGCTTGCGCGTTCCAAATCAGGCCTCGGATGGCCACCCACGCAATCAGCTGGGCCCCGGGCGCACATGTGCGTTTTGGTGACCTAGAGTTCATCGTCACACTAGGAGGAGAACTGGCGCTGACCCACACGGCCACACAGCCTCTCCCTTCCATCAACCTCAGCCGTCTGAGGCTTGAGGGACCGCAGGGCGACTCCCTTGGACCCCAGTTATCTAGGGAGCCCCCGCGCAGCATCACCCTGTTTCCGAAAGGCCCCGTACAAAGCGCCCGACAGCGTTTCCATTCGACGACATCGTAGTTAAATCCAAGCGGGCCGAACACCTTGTCGTCGACCTTGAACAAACCTTTGCGAAACTCCAGGCAAACAGCATCAAACTCAATCCCGAAAAGTGTGTTTTCGGGGTCCCGAGGGGCATGCTGCTTGGCTTTATTGTCTCCGAACGCGGCATCGAAGACAACCCGGAGAAAATCTCAGCCATCACAAAAATGGGCCCAATCCAAAACATAAAGGGGGTTCAGCGAATCACAGTAGCCTTGCCGCCCTCAGCTGATTCATTTCACGCCTCGGCGAACGAGGACTTCCCCTTTATCGACTCCTTAAGAAATCCAACCACTTTGAGTGGACAGCCGAGGCTCAGGAGGCGCTTGACATGATTAAACAATTTCTAACTAAACCGCCGGTCCTAGTCCCTCCGTGCAACGGAGAATCCCTCCTGTTGTATATATTGGCCACCACGCAAGTGGTCAGCTCCGCCTTAGTGGTAGAGCGAGAGGAAGAGGGGCATGCCTTTAAGGTACAGCGACCTGTGTACTTCATCAGCGAGGTGCTATCCAACTCCAAAACCCATTACCCCCAAATCTAGAAACTCCTCTACAGCGTCCTCATCACCAAGAGAAAGCTACGCCATTACTTCGAGTCACACCCTGTGACAGTCGTGACGTCTTTCCCCCTCGGTGAGATCGTCCATAGCCAGGATGCTACAGGAAGAACCACAAAGTGGGCGCTCGAGCTAATGGATCAGGGCATTACTTATGCCCCCCGAACAGTGATCAAATCCCACGTGCTGGCTGACTTCATCGTAGAGTGGACCGAGGTCCAGATGCCACCAACAATCGCCAATCAAGAGTACTGGACGATGTACTTCGACGGATCGCTGATGAGGAAGGGCGTCGGCGTGGGACTAGTCTTCGTATCTCCCCTCGGGGTCCACATGAGGTACATGGTTCGGCTCCATTTTTCCTCATCAAACAATATCGCAGAGTACGAAGCGCTCATCAATGGCCTACGAATCGCTATCGAGCTGGGCATCCGACATCTCAACATCAGAGGTGACTCCCAGCTGGTCGTCAACCAGGTCATGAAGGAGTCGAGCTGCAATGACGCCAAGATGGAGGCATACTACCAAGAAGTCCGACGGCTGGAGGACAGATTCAACGGCCTCGAGCTCAATCACATCCTAAGGCGCCTCAACGAAGCAGCCGACACACTTGCGAAAGCAGCATCCGGCCGAGAGCCAGTCCCGGTAGGCATCTTCGCCAGCGATCAACACAAACCCTCGGTACGCTACACGGGGTCAGAACAAGCCGGTGATGGCCCATCTAGTCCGACCCCAGGGGCCGATCCGCCAACTGCACCGCCCGACCCCGAGGTCATGGAGCTTGAAGAGGACCTAGCGGCATAGTCCGACCCTCCCGACGACTGGAGAACGCTTTACCTCGACTACCTCCTCCATGACATATTATCGGCAGACAAAACAGAAGCCCGACGGCTCGCACGATGCGCCAAGTCCTTCGTTCTTGTAGAAGGCGAACTCTACAAAAGGAGTCACATCGGGATTCTGCAACTCTGTATCCCTGGCGAACAGGGAAAACTCCTGCTGGGCGACATCCACGGTGGAATCTACGGTCATCATGCCGCACCAAGAACCTTGGTTGGGAATGCATTCCGACAAGGCTTCTACTGGCCCACCGTAGTAGCCGATGCCGAGCAAATTGTACGCACCTGCGAAGGGTGCCAGTACTACGCTCGGCAAACTCACCTCCCGGCCCAGGCACTCTAGATGATCCCCATCACGTGGCCCTTCGCGGTCTGGGGGCTCGACCTGGTTGGGCCACTCAAAAAGGCGCCCGGGGGCTTCACCCACCTGCTTGTCACCGTAGACAAGTTTACAAAATGGATTGAAGCTCGACCAATATCCACGATCAAATCCGAGCAAGCCGTGCTATTCTTCCTCGACATCATCCATCGCTTTGGAGTACCAAACTCCATCATCACAGACAACGGCACGCAGTTTACCGGCAGGAAATTCATTTGATTCTGCGATGAACAACACATCTGGATCGATTGG